AAAAACAATTAGATAATATAAATAGTTAAGTAATAGGTAATATTAAGATAATATTGAGGACGCAAACGTAGTTTTATTGTTAATTATAGGTCTGTTATAAAACTTTTCAAAGACTTTGGATTTATTAGACCATCCTGCAAGACTTTTTATGATACTTATATCAACTCCTTTGCTTAAGGCAGTTGAAGTAGACGCATGTCTAAGACTGTGAGAAGTATAGTTCTCACCAACTTCACACTCAGTTAAAAAAGATCTTATCCATCTGCTGATTGTATCTTTTGATGCTTTTTTATAAGGTTTTTTAATTGTTAGAAAAAGGCAATCATTGTTGTTTATTATAGTAGATGTAACAGTTAGGTAATGCTCTAATGTCGAAGCTACACATAGGTTAATATTATTAAATTTTGGAATAATTAAAAGTGGCTGAAATGCACCCTGTCGAGAGGATTTAATCCTATCAGGGATTTCAATTTCATAGCCATCATTCTTTTTATAAATTATTTTAAATAAATTAATTAAATTAATTAGATGTTTAAATGTGATGTTCACTTTACAGCGCACAAAAAACGTAATGAGGATAAATAAGACGGTTACCTGGGAAACGCTTTATATTTGTTTTTACAGTTGAACTTTGTGATGTGAATATGCGTACAAAGGCGGTACTACCTAGTGATCTCGAGAACGAAATTTGAAATATAATTGAAAAATTTTATAATAGACCTATTGTACAAGATCCGAGTACATTTGCTAAAAGTGTGTTATTATAAAAAAAAAAAAAAAAAAATATATTGTTCAATTAAAGAATTGTTAAATTAATAAAAATAATTATATTTTTTCAAATGATACTCTGAACATCCTACAATGTGATCTCGAGAACGAAACATGAGATATAATTATATGATCGAGCGAGCCTGCCGAAGGCAGGCGATGCTCGATCGTAATTATATTGATTGTTTCGTTCGAAGAGATCACATCCCACCCTCTATTTATTATTAATTATTATTTAAAAATCATTGTATTATCCCTCCCGTGATCTCTTCTAGAAACAACTACTTTAAACTGCATGAGGCTGATCATATAATTATATATTTCCCTCTAATAGTTTGACCGTTTTGAAACGTTGAGCCATATTTTCATAAAGATTATTACTAAGTCTTGTTGATATATTCTAACATAACGAGTAAAAAATAATGAATAGATCAGTAAACTAATAAATTATTATAAAAATAATTTATGAAAAAAAGTTATTTATAAAAGTAAAAAAAAAAATAATGAAAAATATGTGTTATATCAAACTAACAAAAATTGATTAATTTTCAATTCTTTAAATACGTATTTTGTAATTTTTAAACTAACAGCTCTATTTTTATTTAGAAAAAAAAAAGTTCACTTCGTATAAATTTTTATTAAAAATATAGATAAAAATCATCAACTCTGAATTAACTCTACAAATTTTTTACAGTGTAAAAAAAAAATAATTTTTTATGCATAAAATCATGTTATTTGTATATAATATTGAGCTATTTAAAGTTCTTGAAAACTAAAAAAAAGTTCCCTTTAAATCTGAATCGTAAAATATGTTAATTTTATTACGATAAACAAAATTATATAATAAAGTACTACTACAATTTCGGATTCTATAATTCAATAGTAGAATAATAAAAGACTCAATAACTCACAAAGAACTTCTTTTAACCATTATAAATTTTAATAAAATTCTCGTTTATTGAAGAAGGTTACCTAATCACATTAGAAATCGAAAGTCAGGTCAAAAACAAGGACAAGGTCGAATCTAATAATTATCAACAATACAATTTTATGATAAATAAATGATACGTGGTAGAAATATTTGAAATTTAAATAATAATAACAATAATAAATTCCTTTAAAAATTTTTATATACACTTGTACACCCGGCGGTTTACGTAAGGCACTTGCTGCATCAAAAACCCAAAGCAGCTTGGCTTGATTTTCTGAATGGCGTGGGATGAATAGAGTAAAAAAAAACAGAATGGAATATCCGAGCCGACTAAACTAGTCGAGACTAGACCTGATGTAAAGACCAACCAGACGCACGACCTGCATCCTGGATGGAGCAGGGCAGGCTGCCGATGACAAAGAGACCAGTTTAAGAAAAACCGACAAAGAACTTAGAGTTCCTTTTGTCACCCGGAATATGACTATTATACATCCAGCATCCAGCATCCAGCATCCAGTGAGTTTAGTTCACTACTCGGTAGACTAGCAGACATAGAAGGTGACACAAAAGTAGACACTATGGACTAGTGAATATGAAGAATCGTTGGATCCAAAACCTGAACCAACGAATGTATGATTTAAGTCTTAAGATTCAGTCGGTTTGATGACGGCAGGCACCATCCATCCACCTTTCGATCGATATGTGTACAAATGAATCAGTACCTGAAAAAACTAATAAAAAAAGAAGAGAGGATGGAGGTCTTTTCATGATCAAACACGCAAGAGGTGTGTGTAGACAGGTGGACCTGGTAGCATTGATTTCTTTTACGATTTTGCATCTGCCTCTGTGTATGATGCCTGTTTCTAGAGGTACAAGTAAGCTGGGGGTTCATTTATAAGCTAGTTTCCTAGAAATACGCTACCAAACTCATTTATATACTTTTTTATCTTTTTTCACGGCTTACATATAGAATTTATCGATTATCATTCTCCTTTATGGATTCAACATTATTTTTCAATACACACTTTTGTGGCACGCACCACATTTTTTAGAAACTGAAGGTTAGTTGTGACATCAAAATTCGGCTGACTTAAATATTTTTTTGACAATATTTGGAAATTTATTGTTGAAGAAAAGTCAATTTTAATGCTTATTTCAAGGAAAATTTAAATTTTCGTTGGGGTGTAGAAAAAAGAGAAAATTGGAAAATTTTTCTTACGATGAATTAAACTCTACACAGAAAAAACAAACTTCTTGTACTAAAAAAATTTTAAGGAAAACAAAAGTTACATTGGAACAAGAAGAAATTTTCTTGGTTCAAGAAACTTTGACTTCATTCAAGAAATTTGCAATCTTCGTTAATATTTTCTTGAGCCAAGAAAATTTACTCTCCAGTTAAGAATTTTTTTTTTCAGTGTATTATCTGAGTGGTTTTGTGTGTTTCTTTTTCTTAATGCATTTAAAATTAAAAATAAAAAAAAAACATTGCAGTAAGCCAAATTTTAAACAATTCATACATTTTTTTTGATTCGGTAAAAAATTTTTAAAAATTCTGAAGAACGTTTTTTGTAGGGTAGAAAAAGACAAAAAACTTTCAGCAAAATCGAAAGAGATTGGTCTCAAAGTGGTCGAATTACCCTTTATGTTATCAAACAAAAAGTTATTTTATCACAAATCAATTAAAAAATAAATTGTTTAAGTATTTTGTTCATAAGTTTGGTTCGATTGACTTCCCTCTCTCATAAATAGGTTAGAAGTACCGTTTGTGGCCATTTATTGTTCAAATAAACGATAGAAATGAATTTATATTAATAAACCATTACAAACTCAATTTGTTTTAATATAAATTTTTTAAAACTCAACAAAAATATGGTTATAATATTATAATTTTTTATAAATTAATTCAAATGTTAACTGGCCAAAAACGGTGCTAAGGTGGCCAAAAACGGTACTTTTACCGATACTTTTACTAAATATTTTCCCTAATTATTTAAGTAAACTTGCTAAATCCATAGGCCTTATTACTTGACTACACTTCGAATTTTCGATTCTTTCTATTTATGACAGAAATAAACATTTCTGTTTTCTTTTTTATAGAACATGTCCTTAAATAAAAATTATTATCGACATTTCCATAGGTCTTAAGTATTATTTGCGGGTAAATTATATATAAATTAGTTTACTTACTTAAATTATGGGACAAACTCCTTAGACTTGATAATTGTTGGTTCCTTTTGTCGATTGATCGGATTTTTGATACTATGATGATGACCTGATGACACTGTTTTTTTTTATCAGAACTAGGTTTTGTGTGGACGTTTGACACATCAATTATTAATTAAAAAAAAAAAAAAAAAAAACAGTAAGTGAAGTGAGCGAAAATTCATCTACATAATTGTAATAAATTAAAATAAGTATGCATCAATATTGTGTAATTGACCTTTTTAATACCACGAAATAACATACATATAGATTTGAATTTGAATAGCAAGTTATTTACACTCTCAACACATTAAAACTTGTAAACTCTTGATGAATAATTTTTATAACCACAACACATTAGTAATATTTTTACTTCAAAAGTTCTTGAACGATTTAATACTTGATTTGATCATAAAATGTCTCAAATAGTGATTAGAAAATCGAAAATTAAACGGCAAAGACAAAATTACTCACAGATTGAGTACAATGATTGGTAGTGAAATTTAACAAACCTCATCTACTAATTTGTTAATTGATTTTTTCTTAATGAAGATCATTCGCGGCTGGTTGACGGAACAATCCGATCCGGGCAAAAAATAATTCGTGTTTGTCCTCTCAATCTCTCTATGAACTGTCGTCGCTCCTTTTCGTGTCTTTTATATTTTGAGTGAATGTGGTGAACAATGAGTTCAATGCCAAAGATGATTAAACTCCACAGCGAAATTGCCGCAAACATAATGAAATAAAACACCAAGTTTTCAAAGTCGATACGTTCATAGTTTTCAGCTTCTTTGATCTTTTCCCTCTTCTTAATCTGCTTCCATAGCTTTATCTCCTTATCGTAATGGTTGATCAATCCTATTTCCACCGGTATCGCACGAGCTTTATCAATTTTGTCCTTCAGAGCCCAGTACTTCTTTGTCCAAAACACGAAATATTTTTTGAAGACAATTTCCTTTGATACATGAAGGTTTTTAAACTTTAAAGCGTGTTCAAGTTGATATGGAATGAATTCGATACAAGCGATAGTTGAATTTTGTTGGGCTTCGATTGCGCATTTTATCAAATTGAGATGAGTTGATGCATGCAAGTATTTCTGGTCCTCTTCGTTTACCCACAATTTTTCATTCATAATGTCATTTAACAATAACCCATTATAAAATACATGGTACTTGTTGTCGAATAAGTCCTTTAAAGTTTCAACATTACGTCGCGCTGGTTGCGATAGAACCGCTGAGATCTGACCTTGGAATTCGGGCATCACTACAAAAATGAATAAAAATCCAAAGAAATAAGTGATCTTCATCGAGAGACGTTTTATTGGAGACATTATCCCCATGCCCAGCGACATGCTCACAATGTCCATAATTCCTTGGCTCACGTGGAATTTGTTATTTATTATTATCATCAGTAGAATGAGTAACAACACAAAGATTGTGGCAAAGATAAAAGTAAGATTTATGTTAATTTCTCTGATTACTGTCAAATAATTAGTATTCTTAGTTAAAATTGAAAAATGCACTTCTCGATACTGCGTCACAAAATCTGTTAATTTATAATTAGTGTCAGCTAGTTGATACATTCGACTATAGGCATCATAATCACGACCGAAAAGGTTGATATCAAAACCAGACTTTATTTGTTTATTATCAAAATAGCCGTCGACCATATGGAGTGACGTAGTTACTTTCATATAATCAGGTAATGAATATAAAAAGAGATCTTTAGTGTCTTTCACATGTTTCAGATTCATATAAATCATTTCCTGTTTACGCTGTTCGGTTAAATTCGATGAACCAAAATATTCTAATAATTTTATTTTATGACCATCCAAGTACTGAGTCTTATCAAAATTAATATTTTGATAATTTTTATTTACATCTGAAAATTAAATGAAAAAATCAATTATGTTTTTATAACTAAGAGTTTATTTATTCTCTCTTTTTAAGGAGTAATTGGAACAATTGTTGATTTTTTTATCGTAAATAATTACTAAACTGAATAATTACCTTTTGGATACTCAAGACTGTATAGTGTCGGTACAGTTTTACTATTGCTGCTTGCCAATCTGACTTGATTCCAAGGTAATGGAGCGAATTGCGTGTAAGGGTTTTGAGTGTAGACTATGGTTGAATCTTTATCGTTATCATAACATAAGTAATATGATACCAATATATCGAACTTTCTAAAAAACCGAAAAATTATATCAGCGTTTCCCTCATGAGGCCCTTCAGAAATGTCAAGAATGAAAATCGGTGATTTTAAACTCCAGATTGTTGAGCGCATAAACCCAAAAATGAGTGATGCCAGATTGTGCATAGATTCAAATTCGATGACGTATGTAGGATAGCTAGGATGATACCCTTCGATTTGTTTAAGTTTGAGATCACCATTCACTACTATCAGCGGATTTCCATTATCGATATTTCGACTTACAACTTGGTCATTAACCAAATCGAAAGTTATTATCACTGGGTTCGAGTTATTCTTGAAAACATCATTAATCAATTCCATCTGTTAAAACAATAAACGATTTGGAAAATAATCACAAATAATTAAAACTACCCGTGTAAAAAAAACTGTCCCAAATTTGTTCTCAAAACATTCTAAAATAGTCTAAAAAATGTTCCAAAATTATCCTAAAATTGTCCAAGAAGTGTTCCGAAATTGTCCCAAAAATGTCCAAAAAATGTTCTATCTATTAATTTTTGGACAAATGTACAGCTGTGCAAAAATAAATTAGCACTTCTTAAATCATTTAAAAATCGTTTCAAAAATGTTCCAAAATTGTCCAAAACATTTTTTCAAATTGTTCTTAAATTTTCCAAAAAATATTCTAAAATTAGCCAAAGTTTGTTCTGAAATTGTTCAAAAAATGTTTTAAGATTTTTCAAAAAATGTTCCATATAAGATTTTAAAGACAAATTGTAACTGAATTGTTTAAAATAAAACACGTTCATTCTAAAATTATCTTAGAAGTATTCTGAAAATCTTAAAAAAAAATTCTTAAAATTCACAAAAAAATTCTTAAAATGCACTACTTGGAAATTTTCGATAATTTATATTGTGTCACGTTTGGGTGTCCAAGCTTGGGACAATTTTTTTTTTTCACGGGTGATTAACACGAATAATTAACTCACTGTATGATTGATGAGGCGCGTTTTGATTTCTGACGAGTAATAAATGTTGCTTCCATTTGAAAAGTGACCAGTAAATACACAACAGCAGCATAAAATAATTCCTATAAATCGCATTGTTCAACTGATGATGATCAATTAAGAAAAATGATTTTAAATAATGCTAGAAAAATCAAAAGTAATTTTTAGAATTTATTATTATTTCTCTAAAAATGCAACGTGATTCCAACTTACGAAGAAGCAGCTAGATAGTTTGAAGTCTTGTTGTCGACTGAATTTAATGGTTGTAAACGTATTACTTTGTTTTAAATTAGTTGCCTATGACAACCGCAACTTAATAGTGAAAAAAGTATCGTTTATATTTGCGTCGTCCTTTTTGCAAGGGACACGTCAACTAGGTCAGCTAGTTTATTTCCCGAAGTGCGCTAATTGTCACTTTTATGATCCCAGTAAAACGTATACAAGTAACACCTGACTCTCACGTATTCAAAAGTGTAAAAAGCTGGAACATTATGTCAATAAAGTATTGTAAACATTTAACTGACAAAAAAGAAATTCACCTAAAATAATCCAGATAATTTCGCGGAATTTGAAATGATACTAGCTAAATTATCTAAATATTTTAATGTTGACGAGAGAATTACCAATAGTGATAGATTTTGCTTGAGAAAAATAGTTAATTTTTGATAAGGAGATGTATTATTGATTTTTCACTTCCCAGTAAAATATTAAACTCTTCGGATACTCACTTCTGAAAATAACTAAAATGTTAAAAATTATTGAGATAAATGATTATCTTTTACTATTTCAATATTAAAAAAGGCCATTCGATAGCACAAACGGAAATAAATTTTTCAAGTTTAGTAAAAACTTGTAGAATCATGAAAACAAATTCTATAATTGCTATGAAATCTACAAAAATTAAATTATGATTTCCAGATTTAATTTGAGCAAATGTTACCCCTTAAATCTTGATAAAATTCGAGATTATATGTTCCTGATTACTGAAGAGATTTATCTATCTGATGGTAGCTTTGAATTATTACCTTCAATTGAAAAATTTTTTAATAACTATTTTGAACATTTGTATATATATATATATATCTCATAATCATAATTCATAATACACATAAGAATTGCTGGAGAAATGAAGGTGAGATAACGATCTTGAAACCTTTCCACACGTTTAAATTAATAAGACTTTCGAAAGATGTGAGGTGTTTTATTATCATGATCAAAATTTAAAATGTCAACAAAAGCATTTTTCAATTCTTTTCAGCGTATTTGGTAATTTTTTTGTTGTCAATTTCTAACGAGTTATTGTCAATAAATTCCAAAGAAAGTATTTTAATACTATAAATCCAAATTTTTTTTTAATTTCATCAACATTCAAGGTTAAAAAAATATTAAAAAGAGAATTTTGGAAAGTTAACTTAAAAATTTTATTTTCATAAATCTGTTACAATAAAAAATATTTAATCAAATTTGATTTAATGATTATGGTACAAATTAAGAAAGTTTACTAAAAAATTAGATACAAAAAACAAGACCATATCCATCTAAATCATTTAATTAGTATTTGAGTGATCGTACGAGATTTATAACTGAAATTAGCTTTGAAGAAAGCGCTTTCCTGTTTTGGGTAAGTGAGATACCCTCATCAATATTTTTAAGTATATTTTTATATATTTTTTATAAATTGGAAAATTTTTTAATGAAAATTCTGGGAGGCAAAAAAAAATTAATAAATTTAAAAATTTTTAAAAGCTTGCATAAAAAAGTTTTCCTTAAAAATGTGAGTTAGGGGACAAAACATAATATCCATTGAAAATTTTTAATATATTTTTATTTTCGAGAAATATAAAGAATTTTGATTAAAAATTTTCATGCTCTAATAAAAATTTCAGTAGATTTATTAAAAATCTAAAAAAAAATTGACATATTTGTAAATTATGTAAAATGATGGAAAATCTCATTTTTTATTAGAAGGTACTTGGAAAAAAATATATTGACTTTTTTGAGGTATGGCGGAGGGTGGGTTGCCCCCACCCTCCGCCTTAAAAAATAAGAAAGAAGATATCCGTTTGATTCGAAAGCAAGGAAGCCAAACATAAAGAAAAGAATCTTAACGTATTTTATACCGGACGCGCAATAACAGAAAGCGATGATTTTTTATTAAATGAAATCCAGGTGTTAATCGAATAATAAAAGTTTAAAGAGGGTGTAACCATCTTATTGAGCGTACTTGAGCATACTCAGGAATCAAAAATCTTGGTATTCACGTTTTTGGGCGTGATAAAAAATAATAAAGTTATGGAACTTCATCCCTTAACAAAAAAGCTGCTTTCTGCATCATACATGAAATATATAAGGAGGTTGTAAATTTTTAGCAGTCATATCGTTTGTTCCTCACGTCACAAGATCTCGATTAAAGATCCGTTGATTTTGATTCAAAATTCAGTGGTAGAATAAATGCCACTGATCTAAATCGGGCAAGATGACATAAAGGCAAAAAGTATAATAAAAGCAAGTCAGTGAGAGGGTGTTTAGAATTTCATTTCCGGACATGAGGCCTGTCACGATTTATTCTATACTTGCTGTATTTACATGTATGTGTATGAAGATCGAGTCTAGTAGTTTTGAAAAGGCGACAGAGCACATACATCTGTCAGCAGATGCAGAGCAGATGCAGACAAGTGAGATGAAAGTCTTACATGGTGGATGTTTTTGTTGAGCCCTTTTACCTAGCTTTTACTATATTCATCTATATATGTATATAAATGTATGCTCTTATACATTATTACTACCCTTGAATTTAAAACCGTGTAAAAATCTAATTGCAACCCTTTCGAAGTCGAGTAAATACACGAACACACAATAACTTGAATATGTTACGGCATTTAGGTATTTTAATTCTTGCAAAACTGGCTTAGACGACTTTTTTTATTCCTTCATTATGAATTACTTCCGGGGTTAGTTTTTCAGGTATGTAAAGATCTCTATTGATTGTCAACCTCTACTCTGGAATCGGCACGCGACGTATGTAGGGTGAATTTAAATTTTATTCGAGACAAAATAATTTTGTTTAGGCTTGAATAAATAATATTAGTTAATTTATTTTATTTTTTTTTTTTTTTTTTAATGAAGAATTGCAATTTTGATTTACAAAGAATTATTATTATTGCTATTTATTTAAATTTCAAAATAATCAATTTTTTTATCATTAAAAATAATACGTCAAATTTGTCATTTTGAACATTTTTTACCAAAAATAAAAATTTTTAAATTTAATCATCTTAAAAAAAATTACAAGCAATATTTCATAACTCCATCATTAAAATTAGTCACAACTTCAATTTTCATAAAGTGAAGAAATTAATAACCGGAATAATTGCTACTAATAAAAAAAAAAATAAAATTTCTTATAAGGTGTAAAAAAATTTTTCTCATGTTTCAACATCTTACCTTCAATCAGTATTCATATCTGTACCTTTTTCAGGTAGTTTGTATAAGCAGGGAATTTTTTAAAAGCTACTTAAGATAATTAGTGATATATTTTTGTTTTTCACGCTCGTAATTTGTAGATCACTAGAGATACCGATTATCCTTGAGTGAAAAAAAAAAAAATTCTGTTTCTCTGAAATAAAGGAAAGCGTGAAAACGGGGTGGGTATTAAAATACAAAGGTGTGGTTTTGAAGGATTTGGGATCTAGACAAAGCTAATCATAATTTTAGCTGTCGGTGTTTTTTTTTTTTTAATTTTCAGGTATACAAATATCTTCAGCGCTATACCGGCTATTTTCGGTGATCTCTGTAATGATTTTAAAATTATTTTTTGTCACTTTGTAATTAATGATTTTTTTTTTCGTACAAGAAAAATGAAATTTATCGATTTTTTAACGAAAAATTCAACTGTTTTTCCGGAGTAATTTAGTCATTTTCACACCAAAAATTGAAGTTAATCAATAATTACCTCGAAGTAATTAATGGAAGAATACTGGTGGTCTCTTCATTAAAATAAGGGGTGTTTTATAATTACTACCTAAAACTAAGTTGGAAAGTACATTTCAAAACCAGCCCGAATATTGATTTTAATTTAGCCGTGTCTGTCTATAATTCTATAATTGGTCATATTTTTTATTTTTTTTTTTAACGTAAAAGTAATTTTTATAAAAAATAAAACTCAGCTAAATTTCTGTTACTTTTCACATTTCCAGCGAATAGAGGCCAAAAAAAATTATTTACTTTTTTATTAAAATTTCTTTCTGAATTAAAATAAAATTAAAAATTTTTCATCATTTCTGAAAAATTTAATTTTTTTTATTCATATTTTTATAAGAATAATTTTTACCTTTTTACAATTAACTGATTTTAAAATATGATAAATTTGTTTTTCAACTCTTAGAATTAAAAATGGTTTTTTTTTTCTTTAATAGCAGCTGACGATCGTTAATTTTCCCTGGAAAATGACAATATTCAAATCTTCAATAAATAGGATGTATTTCTTCTTCACAAAAAATTTATACTAAAAAATATAAGAAATATTCAATTTTCTGAGTGCATTCAACTTTCGGGGAAAAAAAAATAAAGAGTCAAGTGCAAGCACTTGAAACCATTATTCAAAAGTCAGTCTATCCGACAATAGTTCTTCGAAGTTAGCCCATATTCTTTCTAAAATGTTAAAAAAAAAACAAGAATACAGCCGCAGGTTGTCTTAATTTTAACACCAAATTTAAAGCTAGTCGCAATCATTATTATTATACCAAACATTTACCACGGGTTTTCTAAATAAAAGAATTTTACTTGACTTGTGCCGACTAGTTAAACAAAATTCATACGTCAAGATACAAGAGGTAAAGGATACTACCCTAGGAAAACAACAAGTATCATCTCAAGACTGAAAGTCACGATGAGGATGAGTTAACGATAAACGATGAGTATGAGAAAATAGCTATCATTGTTTTTCCAGGCTTCAATAGATATTTTTACCCTCTTTCTCCTGATGTTTTCCAAAAACAAAGAATTCTTTTTCTTATCTAATATCTAGTATAACCTGTTAGCAGAGTTTCATCACTATTTTTTGATTTTTTTTCTGAACACATTTTCACTTCAACACT